CTGCAGTGTGGATATCTGCTCCACCACGGTCTTTCCCACAGGCTGCCTGGGAATCTTTGCACCATCACATGGAGCATCTCCTCCAACTCTTTCCTCTCTGGCCTTTGCATCTGCAGGGCTGTTTCTCAAACTTTTTTTTTTTTTCCAGTTGATTCCTCACTTCCTGTGCAATGTTTTGCCCTTTCTTACACACGTATTCACAGAGGCACCACCAACATTGCTAATGGGCTCAGCGTTGGGCACCAGCGAGTCCATTTTGGAGCCAGTTGGAACTGACTTTGTCAGACAAGGGGACAGCCCCTGGAATCTCCTCACAGAGACCACCCTCGCAGCCTTCCTCCCCCCACTATCAAATCGTTGCCATGTAAACCCCATAGAGTGAGTCCACTGGAATATGAGGCATGTTTAGATGAATATAAATCTAAACAGAAAAGTACCAGTCCAGCTTCAATAAGGGACAGATGTAATTTTGAACTAAGGAAAACGGTATTAGTTGCACTCAAAGATCTGGAAGAAACACTCCACAAATAGAGCCATCTCATGTCCTTTGTAGATCCTTCAGGAAGTGGAACAGATGGAGCTAATTTCCTGAATGTTATAGTCATCAGATCTGAACTGCTGTATTTCACATCCTTGCTGGTCCTCTTTCACTCTTCGGGGCGTTTTTCCAAAGGATTCTGCCTGGTAGATCCCTCAGGGGGCAAAAATCTGCTCTTACAGAGTGCAGGGCTGCAGTGTGGCCTTCTGTTTTGCACAGCCACTCCAGACATGAGAGCTGTCCCAGCTCTCCTCCAAAAACCAAACAAGATCATAAATCTGCAATTCTTTACAGAGTATTAAGTCGTCCTTCTTGTGTTGTGGCTCAGGCTCTTGTCTTACATTTGTCCAGGATCAAGCTGTAAAGACAAGTCAGGGAGAGTACTGGGTTTGCCTGCGATAGAGTGTCTTCATAGAAGCTTCTATGGAGTTATGGTCTGGATTTGTGCTGAAAATAGAGTTGATGATACAAAGATCTTTTAGTTGTTGCTGAGCAGTGCTTACAAAGCATCAAGGCAATTGTTTTCATTTGCATTACTTGTTTTTCCTGGGTTTATTTTTATTTCCTTTTGTGGGTATTTTTTCTTTTTTTTTTTTCTCTTCCTTGCAATTGTTATTTTAATTATTGAACTATCTTTATTTCAGCCCATGATTTTTCTCACTTTTACTCTTCCAATTCTCCCCAAACCTGCTTAAGGGCAGTGAGTGTGGTGCTGCCTGGTGCTTAGATACCAGCCACGGTGGAACAAGAAGTGTGTCAGTGAGTTATGGTCAGGATGATGTCTCATGACAATAATCAGGGTTCAACACAGTCCAAAAATCACCAAGTGTGTTTATAGAGACAGGGCAGGTCTCGGGTCAGGCTGGGAAGTCAGGTGCACATCAGAGTGCAAACAGAGATCAGTAAGGTCCATGGCCAGACGCAGGCACGCATGTGTCACTGCTGGAGCTGTAACTCAGGTTGGGGCCAAGCACTAGAACTTCAGTTTAAAAGATGTTGCCATGGGCAGGGGAGTCAGCTCAGACTGAAGCCTGTCAGCAGGACAATCTGGCAATGATCTCCCCAGGGTCAAGAAAGGGAAGGGGCCAACTCTCACCTGCGCTACCTCTGAGTTGAGTCACGCCAACTATCCTACATCTCACAGGTCCAGAGCAACACCTGGTCCCCGGTCCCTTTAGTCCAATATCCATTTGGTGCAAGGTCTCGGCCCCTGCCTCACTCAGCACCAGGCTGATGGGCTGTAGAAGTGCATCTGGCACTGGCATGTACCCAAGGACCCTGTGTCGCGTCCCAGTCACCAGCAACACTGCATCATAAGGAGTCGATTCAGGGACAATCACCTGCAAATCTGATGGGTTTTCTTGGCATTTCACCCTGTACATAAATCAGGAAACGAAGGACACAGGAGACACAGGCTGCATTTAAGTTCTCTGAGCACTTCTCTGCCAGGCCAAAGGCACCACCATTCAGCTGTAGATGGGCTCCTTCTGCCAAGGGCAGCCTACTACTCTGCGGTGCCCATGGGAAGAGTCCCTCCTGGTATGACCTGCACATGCCCTCATGATGTGGGTCACAAAGGACAGACTGACACGCATCTGCTCATGCATGCCTGCATGGAACCATGCAAAAATCTGTATTCTCACATGAAACCCCAGCAGCACCTGTGGACTCTTCTGAGGAGATGCTGGGAACCACACCAGCAGCAAAGGGCTCAAAAACCCGGGCAAGGACTCAATGTCAAACATGCTCTTGGTGTTGCCTGAGGACCAGCAGAGATTGCACAGAGTGAGGTTGAGGCAAATGAGCCTAGGAAAGGTTTCCTGAGAGCACTGTAAGAGTTCAAATAGAGTCAAACCTCCCAGACAAAGCCCATCTATTTGCAAAATTGAGCAACCATCAGAGAGATGTGGAGGGAGCAAGAGTAAAGATATGGCATCTCCTCTCATGTGGGAGACCTTGGAAAACTGGACAAGAAGCACAAGAGACATACTCATTTCCGGACAACTTTGCCACAAACAAGCCCACAGGAATGACCCAGGTGCACATCACCTGCCTGCACGGCATGCCGTCAGCACTTGAGCTGAGCCTTCCGCCTGCGCTGGCGTGTTTCTGCCCCACAAATACTCAAGTCTTTCATCTCAGCGCTTCCAGAAATCCTCAGATGGGAAAGCCAGGAAATGAAAAGGCAGCAGTGCAGGAAACCAGAGGACAGCTCATACCATTAGCTGGGATGGTTTGCATTTGACAGGAGCTTGTCAGAAAATTAGGACTTCCACAAAGGGTGTCTCTGGGTCTGAGGCAGAGCAGCACTACTATAAAAGGCGACCCAACTCTCTGCTCTCTCATCCACTTCTCTCGTCTCCTTCTCTTTGGAAGTCAGGTGAGTGTGAAGCCTCTTCTCTTCCTCCTCCTACAAGATCAGGTCTTTCCTTGCTGTATGTCTCAGCTGGTACGGGCTGTCCTAGCCCAGGGCTGCGAGCTGCTTCTCATGGGAGAGGGAAGAGGAGAGGTGGTCTTCCAGAGAGAAGTTCTGGGTGAGGTGGTTTGTGAGCTTTGACATGGCAGCGTATGCTGGGCCAAGAGTTGACTTGGTTCTACTGTGGTTGGGTGCAGTGCTGCTCCTCATGTGTCCTTATTTTCTGTGTCCCACTGCCCTCTCTCCCAGGTACACCTCTGGCCCAGAGACATGTCTTGCTACAATCAGTGCCGTCCCTGCCAGCCCTGTGGCCCGACCCCCCTGGCCAACAGCTGCAACGAGCCCTGTGTCAGGCAGTGCCAGAACTCCACCGTTGTCATCCAGCCCTCTCCTGTGGTGGTGACCCTGCCTGGCCCCATCCTCAGCTCCTTCCCACAGAACACTGTTGTGGGCTCCTCCACCTCTGCTGCTGTTGGCAGCATCCTCAGCTGTGATGGAGTGCCCATCAACTCTGGGTCGCTTGACCTCTCCTGCATTGCCAGCCGCTACTGTGGCAGAAGGGGGCCCCCCACCTAAAAGCACCGCTGACCGCCC